TCACAAACGACTTGCGACAGCTCTCGAAACGGAAAGCCGGGATTGAAATTTGTTCGATGGGTGGACGGGAGATAATACGCGTGTTGGTCTTTTCGATTGTTTTACTTGCCTGTCCATGGCTGTCCTGCCGATGCTGTTTTAAACTCGAGCTGGATGATATCGATGCGGTCGTGTCGTGACGTTTTAACGACGGTATCGACGTACCACGCGTGTACGAGCCCCGTGCCGCGTTTCCGCTTGATTTTCCTCTGACACTGCTTTGGCTTTTATTGCTGCCGACGCTGTACGTGGACCCTTGCGAGCCCACTTCCCATGGATCCGAAGTGCTGCGTAAATGCAGAATTGAGACGTTTGCGCCTCTGTAAAAAGATCGTTTATTCTCGCGTCAGCGCAGATTAGGCGAGAGAAAGCGGCCATAAGAGGATTGGGGCAATGGGAAATGGCGCGTCCCGCGGACCTCGTGTCAAAGAGGGAAATCTAACATTAATAATGCCGTTTCGTATGTCATTCGCTAAGGCGCTAAAGAGATGGAAACATTTCGATATAATCCCCTTTCAAAAAGAATAAGATAATTATCATGGACTGAATCATAAAGAAAAAACAATAATGGCTATCAATAAGTAAAATATTTCATTTCATATTTGAACGAAATCTGGTAAAACATACTCATGCGGTTTCTATAACCACTTAGAGAAAGGTTACTTCAATTGCTTGCATGATACTTTTGACATCAACAGAAGGATTTTATCAACGTCTTCGACAATCTAAAAGGGGCATCATGCGATAATATTCAGCGCCGAGCGCTCAATAAAAACTCGTCCCGCATTTCCGACGATTCTCGAAGTGATTGAAAATACATTTGCATAGGCAGACGATCCCGGGTCTTCACTTTTTCCAAAGAAATTTCGTTGGATGACTGGCGAAGGCATGCAACGGGCGCATTGATCCGCGAATAGTCGGCGTTTACCCCCGAGGAAACCACTATCCCGGCGTATCGGGGCGAATGTAATACACGCGCGGTACCTGGCGGTCCGTATTGGTTGAACTCGATTCGAGGAGCTACCCGTGGCTCGTTGCTACGCCGGATGCAGCCGCTTTTCTCCTTTCGCGCCCGTACAATCTCGCCGTATAAATATTCATCGGTACTACGTGGCCGGGGCGATACGGATATCACGAACGGGGAGGAGAGGCAAATAAAGATGCCACGACGGTGGAAAAGAACGCCGGGAAACGGGGACGTCGCATCCATCTTGCAGCACGCGCGGGACAGAACATCTCCTGCGACCCGATACCCGCGTACCCGCGCGACGCACGCGGTAAAAGCCGGCAAAGCACGAAATCACGGGTGAAACAGATTCGTCCACGTTTGGCAAAATAAATTCCAGTGAAAATAAACACGCTCCCGCTGTTTTCCGCTGGCAAACGATCCCGCCCGCGTGTTTAGCGTGATTGAACGCTGCTGCGTTGCGAGACGAATCTTCTTATTTTCGCTGCGAGCGTATACATAAATGGAAAACTGATTAATCTAGAAAATACTGGCGTCAACATTTGCGATTAGTGGACGCAAACGAGTCGAAGCTAACGAGCAACCACTACTTTTTCCCTCGCGATCGTTTGTCTTTAAATGATTGTCGGTTGATCACGAATGTTCATATTTTGCGGATTTGGATGCTAGCGTTTAGAAATTAAATATTTAGGTGCTCTGTTAAGGATGTCGATTTGTTGAAGATTAAATAAGTCGTAAATTCGTATCTAGTCATTACGAAATTGTCACCGTAACTTTTTACTACGCATATCTTATCTACTCCTTTAACCTTCGATTGCTTCGACCATTTTGATCAATACTTAGCAAGTTCAAACCGAGCGGAGCCATGTTTAATAACGCAACGAAGCGTTCTTGTCTAAGACACTGATGGATATTAATAATAATCTGTTTACATGGATCGATGGAAATGTAAAGGCACAACGTGCTCGGCACAAGACAGGCAGGGGTCCCGTCGTAAGAAGTTTCGCGCGTTCGTTCGAGTATGAAAGCATTAATCTTATTCGAGGCGGAGCGCTTCACGCGTTTCGCAAAATGCGCGCGTGGAATATAAATTCTCGAATATATCGGTCATCGAACTAGGTCGGTGGGGAAGAATTTTCGAAATGAAATCTGTTCCGCGTTCGGCCAGTGATTTTCGGCGTGTCAACGTGACGACGCCGCGGCGGCTCGACACGCCGGCAATTTGCGGACCTCGTGCCGCTGTTCATCATTAATGAGCCCCGCTAAATGTAGTCGGCTGGGCTGGCAAAAGAAGGCAACGTCACCATAACCTTCCGGCGTAGTAATGATTCATAAAAGGAAGAGCAACCGCGGAAATGGAATTGTTGGCAAGATTCGAATCGCCCACGGAACGTTCGAATAAAAGGAATTCCAATCTTACAAATGACTCGATTCGTTCTCGGATTAGACGGTTACGGAGAGTACTTGATAAATCTCCGGGGAGAACCTCGGAACGAAGTTTTCGTCGTTTTCAATACCACCTTCCAATTTCCTGTTTCGAATCAGTCCCCGAAATGGCCATGTAAAGTTGTTACGCGAAAATACCGAGGAAATGGAGAAAACAAAAAGTTCTACTGCTAATAAAAATATCCATGGAGACACCGTTCGCGATCCTATCACTCTCAAATTTTATTTTCTGTAACGGTGGTAATTAAAAGTTGGATTTTATTTTGCGAAAATTTCGTACTGGGACAGAAGCGAAATTCAATTACCGCACTTTCATCTTTTAGCAATGGCACACGATTCGGGAATTAGATTACAGGAAAAAATGTCAATTTTTATGGTATTCGTAAGCTTTTCAATAGAGTTATAATCGAACGAGTCCGCGTTTTATCACAACACTATTTGCGGATCTCCGAAATGAATATTCCCTTCAATTTTACTCATTGTAAAGGTAATGGATAAAATATTGGATTTCACTGTGTCAAAATTTCATGCCGCTGATAAAAGCGAGTTTCGGTAACTCTGTTACCCCGCTGGCCGCGTTTCTGGGCTTCGGGACTTTACCCGAAAATTGCATATTTTAGACGAAATCAATTTGAATGAGGCGAACTGCACCTTGGGAGGAGGTCAATTGGTTCGGATAAAGTATCGAATATCTGGTTAAAGGGGGATATAATTGTAATGTGCATGTGGAAGTAATGAGTCGGAGTTCGTTTAACTCGAATCGATTCGAATCAGGTATCACGAGCCAATGTATATCGATTGCCCCGGACTGTTTTATTTTCAGCGTAATAAGAGAATAGGACGGGGAGCTTCTCTTCCAATATCGAGAGGCTATTTGCGGCCAGACGTGGACTGAGATATATCCGCGAATACATTATTCGTCAATTTGTTTAAGTTTAGCTGTCATACAAGCGAAACGTGTTGGCCCTATTTTTGGTTCGATCCGAGCAACGGATGTTGGCACGGTTGTTGCAGGGAAACATTATATTTACCTTTTAACGGACATAGTTCGCAGGGTGGCTGGGGATCCCCCGGTTTTCACAGTTGGATTAAAATCACTCTCGCGCGTTAAATTAGACGCCGCGTGTCACTTCAAATATCACGACGTCACCGGAGATCGATGCACCGTCACTTCGCGGCCGCATTAACCACCCCGGCGTTCACCGGGCTCGCGCGATTCCCACTCGACTAACGGATTGGACTCCGTTAATTATTTCACGTTGGGAATTTCGATCTATCATTCGGGAGGGTCGTTCTTCGAGCAGACGTCAGGAGGAAGTTCATTGGATCGAGTAATAAGTCGATGGGAATGCTTCTAAATCAACCGTAGAGTGCAATTAACGTTGAAAGTAAATCGCATTACCGCACGATAATAATTTGTTTTTATTCGATGTTCGCTTGATTAGTAACAGAAGCGATTCGAAGCGGATCGAGTTCTATACACCGGGTAATTTGAAGTTTTCAAATGTTTCAGAAAACCGTATTCGTTTGCGACCACTATTCTCGTATTTGACATTTATCTACCGATCTCTTTTGTCAATTCAGTGCCGTAAGTTTTATTCGCGGCGCGTAGAACGGACAAAAATCGGAACAGCTATTATTACGACAAGAAACGATTAATATCACAGCGTTTCTTCCCTCTTTCGACATCGTCCATAAACAGCAAGCCTTTTCCCCATCTCCTAGAGACGCGCCTATTGCTCAATCCAATATATTTGAAGTAAACAAGCCGATCGCTTTTTCACCATGCCCCTAAGCGCAGTAAAAATCATCCAAGGCAACTAATTAACCGTATACGGCCACGGAAAAGAGTTCTAGGAGCTATTCGCCGTTCACCGCCGTCCCTCCCTCTACGGTTTCGTTAAATTTTGCATTCGCGTGTGTAAACAAGTTACGCTCCGCGGGGAAGCTCCAAGCGGTGCAGGAAGCGGTCCCCGTCCTTTTCATTCAGCTTCATGAAAGTTACATCGCGTGTAACCGTCCTCGAAGACTGCAAAAAGTAAACACACCGGTACGAGAATGGGAGAAAGAGAGACAGAGATAAAAGGAGGGAAAAAGAGAGAAAGAGAGAGAGAAAGAGAGGGGGAGGGGGGGAGTCAGACGCAGGCCACGCAACGATCGAATTAATTTTCTTCTTACCGTATCGATATCAACGATCCACCGTATTAATCCCGGCAGCGACGAACCGGCCGTTTTTGCGACATCGATCTCCCACGGAACGAAAGCTTCTTAACTCCGATCGCGAAGACCGATTTCGCTATGCTTATTTGTCTAGTCCTCGACCGGTTCTTTATTGACCTATCGCATAACTGCGAATTCCCTGGCCCACGTACAAATATTCAAGAATAATCCCCGTGACTCTCGATATTCATGTACACACGTCATCATCCTCCAGGGACGCTGAGGTACAACGCATACCGTCGCGGCAAACAACTTGTCCGACGAATAAAGGACTCGAGCACCGTTAACACAACACGCGTGGGCATACTTATCACCAGCAGCGACGAAGATCCTTCGTACGTACGGTTCGTTCACTTTTTCCGGGAGCACAGACACACGAGGTGAGTAGAAGGTGAAACAATACGCGCGTGCGTAATTAAAGATCTTCGTGCAGGATGCAAATCTGCGAACGAGTGGGACTCGTTAGAGCTGAGTCGCGAATGCTGGGAAAATGGAGGAGAGGACAGTACAGTTGGGATTTCTCTGGTGGTTTCCCGGCGACGCCAGAAAGAAAAACGTTTGGACACGGACAGGGAAAAGAGATGGCCGCGGGGACACGCGCGCGCGTTACCTGTCGCCGCGGGAGCCGGTGGCCGTATTCGAGATGTCGGTTGAATCCGCGGCCGGACTGACTCTACGTGGCGGCAACGCGGGAGCAGGGGCCTGGCTCGAGGACGAGGACGAAACGGGCCCTATGACGCCCACGTTGCCCCCACGTACCCCGTCCTCGGCCGAATGTTGCCTGCTCGAAGATTGCGAGCTCTGGGACAGCCAGCGGCGGCCGCCGCCGCTCCTCGTCACCACTGCGCCACCACCGGTTCCTCCAGCCTGATGGGGCCCACCGCCTCCGCTGTCCAACGATGTGCTCTGCGATCAGAAAATTTCCAATTATAAGCATTTCAAATTTGAACCTTCTTCAGGACCGAAATTTCGCTTGGAGAAGGCGGAGATTTTGGTTTCCGTTTCGTGGAGTTTACATGGTTCAATTTGTATTAGTTTTAACAGTGCAAGGACGGAGGGAGAGATTAACGAGCTGCTGGCAGGGTGTCTGTTAACATTTTGTTGTCGAGAGACTGTAGATATAGTCGCGAGGAAAACAAAAGTTGAAAACGAGAAAGTGTAATTTCAATTGAGTCTGTGTTGAATCTTCAGTTTCGTTAGTTTGTAATGTTGCAAAACTGATGTTGGATTTTGGTAGTTTGTAATTTTATAGTGAGACGTTTCGAAGAGAATTTTGCAGGAAGTACAGTGGAAATGTTTATGGAAATGACGCACAATAGATTCGGTGGTATTATTAGTCAATAGCTTTGGGGTATCTGTATTTGCATATACATCCGCAATCAGGCGATAGAGTTCAATGCAGTCCGGAGGTTTGCATTTGATATGAATGCAGCTATTACGATAATTTGTGTTGTTGTTAAGATGAAATTCCCAACAGTTTCTAATCTACGTCTTAAGTAGTTCCAGGGACATGGCTCTAATGTTCTCTAGCTAAGCGTAGGTGATAATAGTGGGAAAGTTTTGGTAAGCACAGGGAGAATGGCTTATGAATAGTCAGAGTAGTCGAGAGACCCGCTATTCTTCTATTTATTGGATGGACATGCGCGCTAGAATACGCGTGCTAAATGCAAACATTATCGTCTCACAGTGATAATACATACAGCAAACTGATTCGAAATTGGGCTTCATTTCAGTACTAATACCAAGTGAAAATGTCGGTAAACCGTTGGGAAATGTGGATATTTAGACCAGCAAATTTTCATGTGTAGACAGTATTTCCCTGTTTGAAGTATATATAGGTTATCTTCTCGAGAGGATTGGGTTTCTAGGGGATCCTTTGAACAACGCGTCGAGTGTTTAGAGTACATCGATACTTGGAAAAGGGCGAGAAAGGGCGCGAAGAGTGTTGGGTTAGTCACCCCTTGGGTTCTTCAGAGATTCTGTATTCGAACCTCTTTCGCCCCAGGTTTTCCAGAGACAATGCTTTGATGCGAGCGTGTTTGAAGATGTATGCAGACAGTTTGTTCAAAGTAGACGAAGATACTGTACCAACCAAGCCGATAACAGTAACTTTGCAAATAGTAATAATATTTCTTTCCTTCCAAATACACATCAAAGATTCCATTTCAATAATATTAAAATATTATACATTTATATTATAAATTTCATAATTAACATAAGTTTTCTCTTTCCACTAAGGGTCCCAAACAAACGAAAACAGAAGATTTAATAATAATTTCATTAAATCTCGTTTGAAGCAATCTCCATGTATTTAGTATATTTCTAGATCTCAAACAAGTGCAAATAAACTGCAGTCTGCTTATTAACTATCTTAAACAGCTTTTTACCCTGAATGATATTTTAGCAAGGTTTTTCTTCGGACATCTCGGATACGGCGATTACGTTCGACAATGGGATCCCGTAATCGATATCCCCTTAACACGATATCCCGGACGCGGTTAAAGCGACGCCGATGCAGTTGGCGTCTCTTCCCGGGCATTTTCAATTATTTCTTTGACGAGCAAGTTAATCGATTCGGCATGGACGGTCTCTTCGCGGTTTCTCGTCGGTCTCGTTTTTCCATTCTGCTTCCTATCCCTCTTTTTCTATTTTTTCAGCTGTCCCTCTCGTCTTCCCAGTTCGACCAACGACGGGAAGACTTACCCGACAGATTCACGACACGCATTCTTCCTAGGGAGAGGATTCATGATTCGAGAATTAGTTTTCAGCGATCCGCCGCGGGATGGCTGAAGATTCGAAGAAAATCGAGGAGGACACCAGGTTTATTGCCCTTTTTCTGCCTTAATTAATTGCGCCCGGAGTCGCCTCGTGACATTCATCTGACTCAACTGACCGAACATGGCGCGGTTTCGCCACTGCCATCAGCTTTTAAGAGGAAAACCGTTTATCCTGAACCACATTGTGTACGTGACGACGTTCACTATCGAAATGATCCATTTTCTTGCGTACACCGTACACAAGAAAATCAAACGGGCTTCGGTTCTTTACAAATCGATCTTTCTTACGTATGCTCCTCCATTTACAATATCAAATTCGGCCAAAATGAAACGGTCGAAATACAAGACCATTTTAAAAACGAACTACTATAAAAGCGGATCTACCATGTGTGTCAACTGCTATTTTACATAAAGGAAACACGTGTAATCACTATTTAATTTTTGTATTCTACAATATTAGTTTTCTACATTCTCAAGTAAGAAATTCCAACAATTTCAGTAACCGATGCGTATGAGAAACTATGCGAAACGAGGAAGAAAAATACATCTGCTTATGAACGCTGCCATTCGAGTTCCCTCGGTTTCTACATTGTTTACAAGTGAGGCAGATCGGGAAGAAGTCCAAGCCGCGTGAGTCGATTGCATAAAGGCATTCTCGAAAGAGTGGCGCGGATCGTGACACGAGACGAACTAAACCCGCGGGAGAGGCGAGCGAACGAGCGAGCCAGCCAGGCAGCAGCGGCCGTTTCTACTTCCAAATACGGACGAGGCGCGAGAGACTGGCTACGCAACTCCTTCGACGAAAGTATTTTTATTTTCGTCCCGGCTCGGTGAAGAACCCGTCGCGTCGCTGGCCGCGGCGATCGGTCGGGAATCGAGAAATCGAGGGGCCTCGCCTCGCGACGCGTCACTTTGAAGTGCCGATCGGATCTCGCGATTAATTACGCCCGTTTCCCATCGCCGGCGCGGCGCCGCCGATAAGAAACACGAGAAATCGCGACGCATTTCGTTACAAGGCGGATTTCTTTCGGCGGTCCGCTTGTTTACCTTAACGTGGAAAAATTGGCGTGAGCCTGCGGCGCGGAACGAAGTTCAACTGGAAAATATATGGGTCGATCCCGATAATACGGCTCCCCGCGAGGAAACATTTTAAGAATTTTCCTTCGACCTGCGCGCAAAGCGGTTTCCAATCCGTTTTTTCTAGCAATGTTAACTGAGATTGGTTTTTAATAACGTATTTCTGTTGAATGTGAATATGACACTGAAACTGAAATGGCGTTTCGAGTGAATGGGTGAATTCGTTGAATAGGGAATAAAACGTGGTTGTATAATTGTTACTGATATTTAATGCCTACATCAGAAGTAAATCAGTAGAATTTGAGAATAAATGGCACCGTGAAGTTTCCGGAAGATGGATGAAGGTAGTAGAGCATAATGGATGGTACACAATGTGGTTGAACAATATTGTACCGTTCGCGAAATTGTGTACACTTTAGATCTGATAGGAAAACTGAAAGCACTTTTGGGTCAGGTTAATACAACAGCGAGACGGTGGAACGGTACTTTATGCCTTCAAGATACTCAATGGCACTACGCTATCGAAATATCGCTGTAAAATGAACATGTTGAGATTATAATTGATAATTCGGTTTAAAACATATTTATATTTAACACTTATATCTGACTGAGGCTTCATTTCCAAGGAACTCCATTTAGAAGACTATCGTGTGTACTTATGGTCATAAGTAGATACAATAAATCACGAGCAGACCAAATGTCCAGACACGATTACCTTTCAAATCATAGAACAACAATTTATCTTGAAACTCAAGTCCAATTCTACGCAAGATATCTCACTGTCCTCGACTGTGTCACAATTACAAAGGCACTCTGCATAGATGGTCTTATCCTTACCACTGCCAAAAGTCCTTTGACATGTTCACGGAAACAGAGAATTCTACGACAACGAACATAACATTATTTCTCCCGAAGTCGACGACACGAACACTTACGTTCAAATGGTTCTTCCTGGAAGTGACGCTGGAGTCCTGCGATGATCCCCTGGAGTAGTGTCTGGAGAACACCTCGGCGAGCCTGGACCTGCCCGAGCTCGAAGCGTTCGACTTCGTTTTATTCGGCGGTGACTCGTCGGCCGTTTTCGTCAAATTCGGATTACTACTCTTGCGCTCCGGAAAAACTAAATGCTCGATGTTTGGCGTGTATCCAGGATCGCTTCGGACGATATCCTGCAGGGTCACGCGGCCCCCGGCGCTCGGTCCGCCATTACTGAAACAGCCCGGGTCGGGCGATTCCTTTTTCAGCGAATTCCCCGTTCCGCGACCAAACGCGACGTTCCCGGTTCCATTCTCCCGTATTTGCAAGTAAAACGATCGCACGGAAAAGCAACGGCCCCGAGAAATCAAAATTTTAGAAGCCGGGAGCTTCGGTCGCTCGGCTTCCCGCGAGACACACCCGCAGACCGCAGACAATCTTCCCGCGCGAACGGGATTTTCATGAAAGAACGTCGGGACGGGGTACAAGGGAAACGTCCTGGGAACAAAAGGAAGCCGAAGACAAAAGCGGATCGGGAAAACGCAGTGTCGCGCACGTTGACACGCGTAATATCGGTTTAAAAGGGTTAATTACGCGAGCCCGCTGAAAGCCGAGATCTCCTCCGCGAGATTCTCTCCGCTTCCTTTCCGCCGGCGATCCGTCAAAGACGATAAAGAAAAAATGGGAAACGGACGGCTGGTAATAAAAATGTCGACAACAGACCGCCCTGGGACCCGTTCGAACTGAAACACACCGGCGAAGACGGATATGTAACACTGACAAAGGGAAAACACGCCGCGCGCAGATCGTTTCTCGTTTCGCCTTTGTGCACTATTACCGTTTGTTTTAATATTCTCGATCGTCGGTTTACGCGCGTATAACGTTTACGGGACCGGCGAAACGAGGGAAAAAGTTTGTCGCTCGGAAATTGCGCGGTCGTGCTTTTAATTCCGCCCGGAATTAATTTTATGAAAATCGAATGGTATGCGGATAGTAGTTGTGTGCGAGATTGTTCTGATGGTAAATAATTTTTTAATTGACAATTCAAGTTACTTGCATTCGATGCATGGAAATATTTTGGGGTTGCACTTGGTGTACTGGAAGTTGTTGCAGAATCTAGAAAGGGGCGATTTTGCAGGTAAAAATACCTATGAAATGTGGAATAGTTTTATGTTACTTGAATAATTCGTTGAGAAACTCGGTTTTTCACATTTGCGGTGTACTCTTATGACGAAATGCAGCATGCATGATCATTACTTACTATTTCCATTTATTGCGAAGACTAAAGCTGGTACGTTATTATATACTTGCATGCGCAAGTAGAAACGGTAAGTAATGAACAGATACGATGTGGGAGTCATATTCCATTACGGGAACGCTTGGCAGGTTTTCAAGAACGGAGCTTCGTAGAGGGAAATTCTTCCGCGCAGTTTCAACTTACTTTGCTTTTTATGAGCGGATACAAAACCTATTAGTATAAAAAAAATAAAGTATAAAATTTCTAAACCCTGCAACAATTAAAACATTTCCAAGGAAAAATCCTTTATCTCATTTATTCGTTCATAATACGGAATAATATATTCCGTCAGTTGTTATGGAATCACAATTGTTCGTATTTATCAAATTTAAACTCTCTGTAACGAGTTTACCATTCTATTACAAGTTACACGATTAACGTCAAACTGAAATTCGATTAAAACACCGTTTGCAACAGTCGATGAAGTTAACAGTGTTAAAAGGGAAGGAAAAAATAGAAGACCGCAACGTTCGCGCAGATTATCCGGTGTAATAATTAAAATATTTTGAAACCGTTTCGCGTGCTGACCTGGGTCCAAAGCCGTGCGACTGCCTCTGGCCTCGTCTCTTCCCGTTTCCGCGGCCGGGCTTGATGTTCGTCGCCTCGGCTAATTGCAGCAGGCGGTTACGATGCTGCCGCAACAGCGGGTCCTCCCTGCGATTCATTTTAACCGGTGCAAGTGGAACCCTGTCGTCCCTACATCCTGCAATCGAAACGAACAACGATCAAGACAATACGTCAACCGAAAGAACAGTCGTGATGTCGACAAGACACTATAAACATTCGCCATTAATGTTTAAAGTTTAAAGCGAATTTGACAAATTTAAATGTTATTTACTCTTTTCTAATATACATTAACACGTTAAACGCCATGCCAGTCACTGGTGACTGATCCTTCTGAAAGACTAGAAAACAATCGTGACACACATGATAACCGATGTGAAATGAAAATGTTTAATAACGTAACTAAGTTGGTGACTAAATAATTAATAATTGTTCCTGCTTTTCTTTGCTACAAAAGAAAACCTCTACGGAAAAACGCTCAAGACTTTCGTGGCTCTTAACGCGTTAAATATCATTTTTCTCTGATCAATCGTCAACCTCTAGAGTAAACGTAGATGTAGAGTAAGCATCAACTTCTTGTCTTTTCTTAATAAATTATTAACGATGAAGTAGCTATTTCGTAACACGGTTACGAAAGAAATCACAGGACAAGGGGTGAAACAAACGAATTCATAAAACATCGAACCGGGGCCGTAGAGGAAAACAATTAAAGCATCGAGCGAGTACATTAATCCGCTTAAAATGCGGCCGGCCGGCTGCAGGATGGAATACCACTGCCAAATATTCCCGATTTTTCATCGTCGTAATAACGGAACGGGGTCAGCGAGGCGAATAGAAACGGCGATCGCGGTGTCTTTATGGCTTTTACCCGCGCGTTAATTCCCGACCGTTTAATATCTCCAGTGTCGGGCCGGTTAATCCCGTCGAGCCGCATCTTTCGACGCTTATTATTTTTCTTCCCGCGGTTGAAACACGCGGGAACGCTCGCTCGTCCTCCCCGCTGGCCGACTTCCGAAGTTTCGTGTAATTAAATCGGTCTGTTCGATATTGCTTGTCCTTCCTCGGTAAAGAACTCAATTATCGGCGACGCCCTGTTTCCCGTTAATGGGATATTTTAATCAGCGGCCGAATATGGCTGCTCGCACGGTTGGAGATCCCCGAGATAGAGACCGCATTAACCCTTTGCGGCGCCAAGTGTTTTTGGTTCTTCACTTCGAACACCTGCGTCAGCGGTATTTAATTCGATTAGCGATCAACATGGCGTTATAACCATTGATTCGGGAACATTCAGAAAACTCATGCACTTTGTTGAATACCACATATCGTATTTGAAGTCTGATCTAACTATGAAATATTGTTTTTCGTAAAAATAAAATTGACAACAACAATCGTAGGTTTTAGAGAGCATCGTCCATTTTTGATAATCTTTTTATTTATATTATGATCGTCAGTTTGATATACGATGTAATTACGAAGAAAGTACTTAGCTACAAGAATGAAATTGAATGTTGAGACACAGAACCACAAAGGGTTAAAGGCGGTGAACAACGTTACACAAGACGTTCTCGTGAAACGTAAGCCGCGTTTCGTTTCTGCAACGCAACGGATCGCAATTACCGGCCCGCGAATTTTTCTCCCCGGGGACCCCGTCGGATCGGGAACTGAATTCACCACCGACACTCGAGCTCGGCATGCTTTTATTCTCTCCCCGAAGTGAGAATCGTCGGCAAAGTCCTGGCATGGACTGCCCGAAACGTGACTCCCGTATTTTTTTCTCTTTCCCCTCTTTTTTTGTCTGTTTCACGTTAATAACTTGTGGCATTGTTCCGCCATTGTACGACTTCCGCGAACGCCGGCCTTTATCTACCTTCAAACGAGGCAATTTTCATCGGGACATTCTTTTCCTTTGGTCAAGTGTTTTCGGTTCCAAAACGAAGGGAATATGAAACCGGTCTGACGAGATTAAACAAACTCGTAACTGAATTTGGTTTATAATAAATTCGATATTGCAAATGTCAAATGGCATCGATTGAGACGAGCGTGGTTACGAAATATAAAGATAAACAACGATCGTTAGTTCAGTTTTTAACTCCGTAATAAAATATATATATATATATATATATATATATATATATATATATATATATATATATATATATATATGTATATATAGATTGTTCGTTGTATAATATTTCAGTCCTGCGTTTATCTCTGAAACGCGAATTTCCCACGGAAAACTGTGGTACACTCTACATACGCGTCATAATTTCTTTTAAACAGTTATCGATCAAATTATCAGCAAAATATCCATATGCACACCGCTCCGCTAATTGGTACAGGTATCCGACCGGTGGTCAGCTATAATGTGCTTAATTATAACGTCAGATATCGATGAAAGTTTGCGGCTTCCGGCCGTTCGAGCAAACAGCTTACGCATCAAATAATGTGCCCGGAAAAATTTCATATAAGTTCCAAACTATTTTGCCACGGAATTCCAATGAACGGACGTTAACGCGAAACCCGGCGCGAGTGCCGAAGAAGAATCTAATATAACGTAAAAATTTGATTAACCGGCTAATGGGGCGTAAATTGTTTCCCACCGACCGTGATTTTAACTCGTTCACGTTGTCCGAGCGTGATGAATTTCACATGCATCCGTTTGAGTCCGTTCGACGAATATTAAACATTATATTTAACCAGAATGAAATATTTTCGCGTCGCCGAACAGAGCCGTTTACTCTTCGATGCTTCCACCAAATTCAAGATTCGTTTCCGCTATTATTCACGAGTATATTTCGCGCAGCTGAGAACACACGCGTTTTTGTTAATGTTTGAAACACGCTCGATACTTTTGCGCGTTGTCAATTTAACAAGTGGGGTATCCCCGATGAAAAACATTCGCGAATTTGCAGCAAACATATGCACCGTCGCGGAATGTCGCGCGAAGTCTATAACTGGCGCATCAATCGGATTTTATCTGCTCAATGTGACGAATGATGTTTCTTTGAGATTGTCAACGGTTCGTGGTTTGCTAGAATAAACAGTAGACTTGACGTGACTCCATGAGAGAAAGTCTAATAGTATCAAATTCCAAAATACGTGTGATTTCATGCATCAGAATCATCGAAAACTGGATTGATCGTATTCGTTCCACCAAATGCGGTCTTGGTGGTCGTTTTAATGGTATCATGTGTTACGCGGAATGACATCGTGTGTGCTTAATGATAAAGCAATGAGCTCCTGATTGTCTTTTATATTTTCCATTTTATATGGATTCAATGTTCTATTGTTCTAATTGGGAAACTCTGTACTTTGCGTGTAACAGCCGTGTAACAGCCATACGTGCATCGGTCCGCGAAATAAACATCGCGACGACCTATCAGAAATGAAAGCCCACGGTCGTACAACTTGGTAGTAATTCCACTTCTCAAAAGATCGTGCCCGGCATCCGCTTTGGAATTTCCAACGGTGGAACGCTCGGTGCTGCGCTGCATTTTCAATATTGACATATCAGGGATAGAACGGAACAAACAGGAGCGGCGGGGTGAGTAATCAAACGTGCCCCTCCCCTGCCTTCCTCCCTCGTTCCGTCTTACTGTATTTGCATTATTATTCGTATGATCGGTATCATTGGAAATTGCCTTTGACGTCAGCGCTATCCACTCATGCAAATAAATGAAACGAATAGGAAATGCTGTCTCGGATGAAACAACGCTATTGTCAGGATTAAAGTCTGACGGCGTGTCGCTGTGCATTGTTCATTCTTAAAAACTGGGTGAAATCGAGTTCGAAATACTAAAGATTCAGTTTTCATTCTGAGTTCAAAGTGACTCGATCTTCGTCGTGCCGTTTTATCGTCGCGCGATTTTTTACGTGGAGCGAATAGGCAAAACGAAATTCCAACTGAAATGGGTAATTAAATGTCGTTGAAATCAATTTCATTGGAATTCATTGCTCGCCACTGTTTGATTTATTGAACTGAAATAAATATTCTAGAAGAGGAATTCGTTGTACACTAAAATAAATTGATATACATTGAAGAATGTTGTTATGCGAGCATTAATTTTTACGAAAATTCTTTTTCTCTCGAAGGACAAACATCATCGTTCATTCCATATGTGATCGATCATTTCCGGACTGCGGTCTGCATTACAAAGTGTACATTTGTAGCAATTTAAAAGTTAATTATCTTTGTGATTAATTACCCGTAACCGCTTGCCACAGTTTGCAGAGACGCTCCCGTTGTCAGTTAACGAAAACTCGCCTGTTGTTGAAACTACGAAATAATAATGACGCTGATCGCTGTTCGACAAATGGAAATATGAGATTTCGAACGGACAGTTGGTTTTTTACGCTCGTTGAAATGCCCCGATCGAATGGCGGTTCGTGAACAAGCATCAAATGGGGGAGCAAATTGTGTGGTCAATGCCGCGGAAAAACGAACGGATTTCCCTGTGTTTCTCAGTGCTCGTGTTTGGCTAAGCCACTCCATAAATTGCAAATTCTGATTGGGATTTACGAGCGGCGTGTGTTACAGACTTTCAAAACGAAAACTACCGCGGTCCGTAGCCGGTACTTCGGCGCGTGAGATCGGGATTTATGGTTACTCGGTTAAAAAGGAAAGAGAACTAAAGAACAAGGAACGGTCACGGATCGTCTTGACAATCTTGCCCGTTCTGTATCGATACCACGATACTCCCCCGGGGTAGAACCGATACGTTACCAATATCGAAGGAAGAATTACCGATATATTCTTTAATTTTAGCTGTCACAGAAATATTATGTAAAATATTCATCTTTATTCGATGTAAAAATGTTTAAAAAATGTATTTCATGTATTACGTTTTATCTTCAATATAACCGTTAAAATCGAAGCACCGAAATATGATGTAATAGGAGTACTCAAATATTTGGAATTTTTAATTGACCAAGATTGATTTTGCTCATTCAAGGACACAATGCGTTCCGCGAACTGTGCAAACACGGAATTCAATGGAAACGAGGAATGATACGGCGTTAAACTCATGGTTAATAAAAACGGAAGTAATTTTAAACGATTCTACGTAACGATTAATGAACAAGTTCGAAGCGATACCGCTTCATGACCACAACCGCACTGTGATTACAAGTTGGGAGCGA